GCCACCAATCAAATACACATTCAGCTAATTGATTCATTTTCTGGACTCTTTTTGGCCGAACGCCTCATTAACCAACGAGAAGACAAGAAGAAAATAACTTTCAATACGCCCCGCAACACATTCCGCTCTTGTTGTTGTTGTTGCTGCTGCCTCAATGAGGGGGGAGGCGGTGGCGGTAGCAGCAACAGCTGCTGGCAGGTGTGAGGGTCGCGGGGCAGACAGACCTATAATTAAAATGTGAACCTTTTGTGGTTTTGCTCAGCTGGCCAACATCTATAAAGCCGAGCAGAGATTACGCAAATTGGGCCACGCCCTCAATTTGTTTGCTCTGCGGTTGCGTCGATCAATTCCAAATTTTCAATCAAACGAGAAAAAAAACGAGTATTACATCAATTTAGTTTTTTTTTTTTTTTTTTTTTTTTGTGAATTGAGAAATTAATTATCTCTGTGGGTTTTTTTTTTTCGGTTTTTTTCTTTATCACTTTATCAAATTTCAGATCTTAAGTTTCTTCAAGTTTGTTTATTTGTTTGAAAATTGGTTTTATAGTTCCCACATTATAGAAAGTAGTTTTATTGTGATTTTGCAGATATGTTAGAGGGCGAAAATTGAGAGAAGAGAAAACTAATGGAGACTATAAAAAGACTTCTACAATCTGATCAAGAATATAGTGAAACATATAGAAAGCTAGCCATGCTCATCTATGCCTTTATGTTAATGATTTGATCTTTAATATCTATAAGAGACCGATTTTCTAATTCTTTTCCATTCAATGAATATCGAATAATTTGCAAATGTCTGTAAACCTCCATTTCCCTCCTTTCTAGCAGTAGCTATCTATTGTAATACAATTTCCAATTTCATTCAGGTTTATCAATTTCCAATATATTTTCAATTGAGCCTTGACCAATTTTTATTTCTATTAAATCATATATTAGCATACATAGTTCCAAAGCTCCCTAATTTCCTTTTGATTACCTTTCAATTCATAAATCCTTCAATTCGATTTAGTGAACTTTCACTTTGTCTGCGACGCCAGCTTGGTCAAAATGCATTTTGTTTTTTGTTTTTTGGGAAAGCATGTCCAGTTGGCTATCGCACGGCACACGCCCCCCACAAAATCATGGTTAATAATCATATTATTTGGCCAAACTGCAGACAAAGCCAAAGACAAAGATAGAGGCGAATTCAAGCCACTTGGCAACGGCTCGAGGTAAAATGAAACCATGGACGGACCGCACCCCACGTGCTGTTCAAGTGGAACTGCAGCCAGGGGCGCCGAGGGGGAGCTGCAGCAGGGTGTGGAGTGCCGCAACAATGGAGCTACACAAATAGCAAAGAAAATGCATATATATATATATAGCCAAAATGCTGCAATGCAACGGCCCAAAATGTTGGTTATTTTGGCCTAGCCGCCGCCTTTTGCCTGCAGCTGCAGCTGGAGTTGGAGCTGGGGCTGGAGTTGAAGTTGGGGCTGGAGCCATTGAAAATGCATTGTAGTTGTTGTTGTTGCAGCTGCTTGTTGCTGTCGTTGGTCTATGCCGACGACAGTCAGTTAACTGTTTGACTGCTCTTGGCCAGCTGTGCCTGTGTGTGTGTGTGTGTGTGTGTGTGTGTTAGCCAGTGCTCTCCTCTTTGGGCGCCGAAAACATAACGAATTGTTGTGGCAATCGCTTCGTTCCAATTGAATGCATGCCGCGCCGCAGCCTGGCCGCAAACTTGCTACGTGCAACGTGCAAAAAACACCCAAATCCGAATCAGAATTCAAATCCACCAAACGAACATGCAACAACAACAACAACAACAACAATAGCAACAACAGCAGCAACTCCGCTCCAGCTGCAGCTTTCATGATAAATTTGTTTTGCATTTAATGCTGACCCAAGCGAAATATGTTGGCAAATTTATGGACTCTCCAGACTCTCCACCTCTCTCTCTCTCTCTCTCTCTCTCCCGCTCTATTGCTCTGCCTCCCTCTCTGTGTGTCTCTCTATGCAATGCCAGTGATATGCACTTGAGATATTCAAACACGTCTATACCCTCTAATGCTGTGCATGGCTCAAGCTGTATATGAGGTGGGTATGCAGGTATTAAACATGAGCTTGTTTCTTGACATACCCTGTAATATGTGGCATGTGTAAATATAACTAGCATATCGGTGTATATATGAAAATGACAACAATATGTATTGTATATACACTAAAATACCCTGTAAAACAAAGCAACAATTGCATTAATGCATGCCACAGTTTTTGTTAAACATTGAATACCAACTTACTAACTAAAGAGTTACCCAGTAGTGTTCGTCTAGTCTCGAAAGTACCCTATATCTTAGGTGACATATACACATTTATGTCACCTAAGATACAGGGTATTTTCGAGAATAGACGTCGTCTACTGTATAACTCTGAGCACCTCTCTGGTTGATTCGCAATTACATATTGTTTGACTTGCTTACGTTACAGAATAACTCAATCAAGTGGTACATAGTAGATGCTTAGAGAGTAATTGTAAGTCAAGCTCTGTCTGATGTTTGTATAATTAACAGTATAACAGTTCAGTATAACACTTGAACATTTTCTAATTGCTAGCAGAAAATATTTACTGACGGCCTATGCCATATATATGTATTAATATATATCATTCATATACTATCTAGTATATTGGCAATACAGGATAACTCTTAGTCAATCACCCGCTCCACTTATACACCTGTAACAATTATGAAACTTCACTGTCTGGCTAATTACCTAGAATTCTATTTCGACTGCTGCTCATTTCGATTTAGGTTTACGAGTGGGCGTGGCAACGCCTTGGTCGCACACCACGCCCACGCAGTTAGGCCCAGTTAGAAGCAGCGGCAATTAACTGGGCCAACAGACTGACATGCACAGAAAAAAAGAGAGAAAATAATAAAAAGAATCATCTCGAGTCTGGCTGAAGTCTATGCTTAAATTTATGTGGCAGTTGCATCAGAGCTCTCAACTTGCCACATAAATTTGCAACATGTTGTAATGTTGTTTGTCAACAGTTTGAACAGTCACATAAATTAAATGCGAGTCAAGTGCGAGTGCAACTGCAGCAGCAGCAGCAGCAGCAGCAGCGGCAGCAACAACAACAACTGCAACAGCAATATCTAGCTGCAACATGGTGTTAACATTTTTTGCCCCACAGCAGCAGCCGAAAAATGAAAAGTGCCACAAGAGTGAGAGACTGTGTGTGAGTGTGTGTGTGAGAGAGAGAGAGAGAGAGAAAGAGAGAGAAAGAGAGTGAGCGCGCAGTCAAATAAAATCTCGTGAAAATCCATGAAAATTCAGCAGACGACGACGACGAAAAGTTTTCAGCAGTGGCCGTTGCCGTGGCCGTTGCTGTTGCTGGTGTGTTATAAAGAACTCGACTCGACTAGACTGCGACAACAACAACAACAACTACAACTACTTCGACAACAACTTGAACGTTGGCAACGTTGACTTTCTAACTCTTAAACACAGTCGAGTTTGGCCAAAATGCTTGTGCAGCGGGCGTATTGTTGTTGCCGCATGTTGCTGTCGTGGCACCAACAGCAACAGCAACAACAGCATGTTGCTGTTGTATGCTTCGTGTTGTTGTCAATGGTTTAAAACGATTTTCGCCTGATTTGACACAGGCGAAGAAATAGTTATTAAAGGCAAAACCAATTGAGTTGTAGACGACGACAAGGCGGCGCGCAGGGAGAGGCGCAGAGAGAAGCTGAGCGACAGCATAGGGAAAGAAGCTAAGGCAGCAGTAGCAGCCGAGGCTGTGGCAGAGGCAGGCAAAGAAGCTAAGGCAGCAGCAGCAGAGGCAGCAGAGGCAGAAGACAGCAGACAGCAGACGGCAGAAAGCAGCAAGCGGAGAGAGAAGCAGCAAGAGAAGCGCAGGCAGACTTTCAAATAGCCGCAGGAACTTTTTTTCGTCTGTCATTTGGGCAATTAGGTCTTTGGATATGACAGTTAGGCAGAGAGTGCCTAAAGAGGGACGGGAAGACAGAGGGAGCGAGCATTCCCACTGTCTGCACTGTCTGTTTTGGCATCGAATAGTACTTAGGGAACCCAATTTAAAGTTTCTTACTGGACTCGTGTGAAGTAAAAAACCCTCAAATAGAAGCCCCTAGCGGAGCAGCGATGCATAAAGAGAATAAAACCAACAAGAAGCAACTAGAACAATTACCAGAACAACCTTAACTTATCCCTTGCAAGAAGGAAAACCCAAACCCAACTAGAACTATATTTCTTAAACTTGTTGTTTTTGTTCTTTTTGCTTGAGTTATTTCTTTGTCCAGTTTCTGCCCAGTTTCTTGTAGATGTTCAGTTTCTCTCTTCCAATTGCTTTTGCTCCGATTTCAGCGAGCGTGTGGGAAATTTTCTTATCTGATTGTCGCTTCTTCACTTCTTGTAAGTGGAATGCGAGGCTTACAGCCGACGCTCGCATAATTATATGTAGATTAGTCTTGACACCAAAATAATATGTGTATATATATGGCTAAATGTAAGGTTGGAAAAAGTAGGTCTATGTTCCCATGACTTGAATTATGATTAACTTACAATATATGCAAATCATATGCTATTAATAATGCTATAGAGGTTAGTTTGGTGTTGGTCATGAAATCGACAGCCTATTGTAAAGAATGGGAGTCAAAATTATAGGGTAGATATAGATGTAAAAATAAGATTTAATATAGATTGCGGTTTATTGGTAAGAAGATCTCCAAATCTAAAGACTAGATTGGATCTGTCTTCTCCTTACAGTTAGTGCATGTTTTTAGAGAGTATGACAGATATTTGAGGCATTGTCAGAAAGGTGGCAGTAAATCCCCCCATCTTTTATTCTTTGCTAGGGTATCTTTATCTTAAATCTCCCGAATGTTCTCACACATTTAATCAATCTGAACCAAGCTCAAATTGAGCTTTCATTTACAACATTTGATGACATCATTTCCCATATTCAAACTATATTCTAATAAATATCTCAACACTCTTTGCAGACCTGGTTCTTCACAGACACCGACGACCACTACTATCAGGAGAAGACAAGTGAGTATTTCGAAAATATATATGGAAAGGAAATGAAAAGATATAACATTATTTTTTATTATTATCAATTTTTTGTTTTTGCATTGTCCGCCAAAACGAATAAATTTCGATTACCATTTCGCTTCGATTTTCAATTTCAAGAACAGAAAAAAAAAAAACAAAAAATTGGAATTGTTTTCGCCTTAATGCATATTTATCAGCGCGGAGTTACCTGTCGACCTCTTACCCTTTCTTCTTCTTATTTTTCATTTTTTTGGGTACGTTTGTCCGACCCCGTTCTTGGCCTCAATTTGGGTTTCACATCAGCGACGCGGCCACGCCCCATCGAACGCCTAATCTTGGCCACTGTCTGCCCCGAACGAAAACCGATTAAAGTTTAGGCTGTTCCAGTGTGTGTGTGTGTGTGTGTCGAGTGTGTTCTGAGTGTGTGTGTGCTTACCTGCTCACCCGCATTTTAATTGAATTGCAGCCTTTCGTGCTTCGATTTTTGCGTGCAGCTGCATAAAGTTTTCAGAGTTTTAATTAAAAAAAAAAAAACCAAGTTCAAATTTCAATTTAAAAAAAAACACGAGAGAAGAAGAAGCGGAAGATTATATTTTATTTTTGCATACCCCTAGCCTTGCTGCCTCTATCTATCTATCTCCCTCTCTCTCTCGCTCTTTCCTGCTCTCTCTGTGTGCGCTTCGTGCAGATCTCATGTTTCACAGCCTCTTGTAGCTGGATCCTTTGCCCGGCTGCTGGCATTTTGATTAGAGCCAAAAAGGATTTTCAACTAAACACGCAGCGAAGAAGAAGAACAAGTAGAAGAAGCAGAGAGTCTGCATTTTTGAGTTATGTGTTGTTCAGTTACGTCTTCTTCTTCTTCGCCTTCAACTTGTCTGGCGTACAAAAGGATATATAGCTTGTGTCTGTCCTTTAGTCCAGTTTGTTGTGTGTGCTTTAAATATTTCAACAATTTTCATCCAATTAAGGCGCACAACTTTTTGCGCTCGCTTCGTGTTTTTTTGTTGCTCTTGCTTTTGCTTTTTATTTTCAAAGTTCTGTCGCCCTCCCCGGCCACGCCTCCGGCCTTATCGGCGGCGTCAGTCAAACGAGCAACAAAACGCATCCGCTGGATATGAGCGGCATTCCCCACTAACAAGCTACTGTTTGTTGTCTTTTCTCTCTCCTTCTTCTCTGATATGAGCTTTGGCTCATTTTGGTTAATTAACATAGATGCGGCTTCTGGACTCATTCTCTCCCTCTCCCTCTCCCTCTCTCTCTCTCTCTGCAGCTCTCTCTACCCTGCTGCACATCCCCTGTGTATTGCTTGTCTTTCGCTTAATTACGAATCTTTAGCAAATTCTTAGCACACACTCTAATGCCATCTCTTTCTCGCTTGCAGAGGGACACTTGATAAACACGAAATGCTCCCAGGGCCACTTTCGCAAGGCTCTGTGCTGCAAAATGTCCGCCGAACTGGATATCTTTCTCGAGAGCGGCAAAAAGTAAGTATACCAAACTTATTTATATACATAGATGTAGTTTATAAATGTTATATATGGATATATCTATCTAGATATCTATATATCTACAGGAATTCTCATTCTCCATATCTAGTATGACCAATGTGTGTTTTTTTCTAGATTGACCTCACTTCTTCCCTTTGTCTACTTTAAACTTCTTGTATGCTTTGAAGTATTCTATGATTGAGCTCCTGTTGAAATCAGATCAGTTTTTATCACAAGTTGTTCAGGTTAGCTTTGAAATTAATATACCTTTAAATATCATAAATATATATGCATATTCCATATATATACTCTATATACACACAACCCACACTATAGATTCCCCTTTTCATCCCTCCTCCGCTGTTGCTGCTGCTGCCCACATAAATATCGCATACAAATTAAATTTCAGCAACATTTTGTGCGCCCTTTTTTCAAGCCACGCCCCCCGTGTCACATTTAGCTCGCTTTATGGACAGACAGAACTGAAACATAAAATAAATATGTTGGCAGCGCGTGCATTGACCAGTGCAATGACTCCCATTGCAGCGACTGTTGTTGCTGTAATTGTAGACTTGAATGCTTTTAATAAGCAACCGCAGCAGCGGCGGCAGCCGCAGCAGCAGCCACAGCCATAGCCACCACAGCAGCAACAATCTATCCAACAGGCATCCCATCTGTGGCAAAGCAAACACCCAGTTTGGAACTCGGGTTGCAGCTGCGATGCGTTCTAATTTGCGCAATTAAGATGCAGCAGCAACAGCAACAGTGCCTCCTGCTGCTGCTGCTGCTGCTGCTGCTGCTGCTGCTCTCCTTCTTGTTGCAGCCACTCAAAACTTGTCCAGCAAAAGCGAAGAAAAAAAAAACAAGACTCAAGCTGCAAAGACACTTCAGCTAGCGCCCAAAGGAGATGCCTAGAAATTCTTCAGCTTGTTTGTAATTGTGCTGGCAGCAACAGCAGCAACAACAGCAGCAACAACAACAGCAACAACAACAAATTGTTGTATTGCAAGCTGAAAATCTAGAACAACTCGGACATGCCTCAACTTAATATGAAGAGCGGCTGAGTAGGATGTTGCTCTTGTGGTTGCTGTTCTTGTTGCCATTGTTGTTGTTGCTGCTGCTGCTGTTGCTGCTGCTCCTTTGGTCGGTTAAAAGTCTTGAGTCTACTCCGTTTTGGCTTAGAACTTGAAACTGTCATTATAAAAGCACTGAGCATGCAATCAATGCAGCAGCTCAAACTGCAACTGCAACTGCAACAACAACAGCGGCAACAGTTGCTCGCTACAAATTGTTGCTGGCAACTTCTTGCAGCAGGTTCATAAAAAATAAAACAAAATAAATGGCAAGCTGGCTAAATGTGCAGTTATGATCAAGATGGGGCAGCAGCGGCAGCAACTGTTGCTCTTGTTGTTGTTGTTGCTGCTGCAGCAGCAGGAGTTGCTGCTGCTGGGGCTGCTGAAAATGGTATCAGGTGGCGCAGCCAGTTTCCTGTGCCGCTTGATTGGCAACGCTTAAATTTTTTGCTGTTGCTGCTATTGTTGTTGTTGTTGTTGTTGTTGGAATAAGTGCAGCAGCATCGAGTCCAGCAACATCAACACCCAACAACAACAATCGCTGGCAAAATATGGAAAGAGGTTAATTAACGTGCACTGAAACGGGCAATTATGGCGCTCAGTTGGCTGCTGCTGCTGCTGCTGCTGCCGCTGTGCCTGCTGCTGTTGTTGTTGCGCTTTTATGACCCATTGCTACGCACAGCAGCAATATATTGCTCTGGCTGTTGCTGCTGTTGCCGGCTACAGAAATTGACTCACCGCAGCGGGACGTCCATTCTATTAAATGCAAATCAAGCCAACTGAGCCCCAAATGTGCCTGCTTCGCTTTCAACTCTGTCTTTTAATTACATTCAATGCAATGTTGCCGCAGTGCATCAGCAACAGCAGCAGCAGCAACTACTTGTTGCCGGCAACTCAAGTGAAGAGACGCCTTTTGCTTGCTGCTGACGGGCTAATTGCAGTATGTCTATTATAAACCCGAACAATTAGTGCAATTTAATTAAAAATTACAACAGCGGCTGCGGCAACAGCAACAGCAACAACAACAACAGCAGCAGCAATTGCTACAACAGCAACAACAACTGCAAGTCACTAGCAACAACAATTGAGTGACCGCTCGACCTGGCACGTCAATCAGCCTTCATTTAAGACAAGCCACCTCTCCCTTCCTCTGCCTCTCTCTCTCTATCGCTCTCTCTCCCTCTCTCTGTCTCCCTGTCTGTCTGAATCGCAGCTTAATGCATGCAGTCGTACAGCTTAAGGCAATCATTAATTATGAGCTGTAGGGAAATCGGTTTAAAGGAATTTCTATAGCACACACACACACACACACACATATAGCAGCAGCAGCAGCACATTCATGCAGCGGCGCAGGCGCCAAGAAGGTGTCGGCGCCGCCTCTGCAGCTGTTGCGACATTCGAGTTTATATAAATTAGATTTCAGTATGCCCTATACCAATTACAAAACTCGGAAATGAAGGGTTTAATGGATCTATATATCAGCTATGTAACACAAAGCAGAATTATCGAAGAAGCTTTAGAAGAGAAGTAGCTGATGAGCAGAAGAAAAGAAGACGTTAAAGAAGAGAGTTGGGAATACATCAGAGCTAGATATGAAGAAGATATTTAAGTAGAAGCTAGAAGAAATGAAAGAAAAAGAAAAATGTAAGAAAAACTGAAAAGTAATATATATAAGAAGAGATTAGAGAGAGAGAGAGAGAGAACTTAAGTATAGTTCTGAAATAGATAGAAGTAAAAGAATAGCAAGTAGGTAAAGAGAAGAAATAAAGAAGAAAAGTTTAATAGAGGAATAGAAATCAGCTATTATTTCCCAGTCACTGAACAGCTCAACTCCTGGTAGCCCGGTACAGGGTACCTTTTGGTCAGTTACACCCCAAACTCGCACCTTTTGTTTTTTGTATAAAGCGCCAATCAAATGCACGCTTTAAATTGTTTGCTTGTTGTTGTTGCTGTTCTCTTTTTTTCCTGCTTTCAACTTTTTATTTTTCAATTTATTTGTTTCAAGTTCTAATTTATCTCATGCTGTGTGTGTGTGTGTGCCCTGGGTGTGTGTGTGTGTGCCTGTATCTGTTTGGGTGTGTTTGGTCGTGCCGTATGGCGGCCACACCTAATAAACAAATGTCGCGTTTCGACTAGCCAATATTGTGCGAATGTATCTTGTATCTCTGATTTACGAAACGGGGCGCATGCCCTTGCCATGACGCATTTAGATAGTGCCACGTATCTGTATCTGTGCCTGTGCATTTGTATCTTTATGTCTGCATTTACATATATCTTCAGATATAGCTGTGTCTCTAAGTCTAAAATTGAGTTCACCTAGAGCTGAGCTCTCTATCTTTATACTTGTATCTATCTATATGTATCTGTATCTATGTATCTCTAGAAATTCATTGATAAATCTATATTGTATTCGTGTAGGTATCTCCCTAAGTATCTCTTCTATACGTATCTTAAGAGCAATTCAATCGTATCTCAACCAATGCATCTGTATCTTCTTCCTTTATATCTTTATTTGTATTTCTGAACTTGTATCTGTAATTGTTGTGCCAGCAATTTGGTGGCACGTTTCGTAAACAACATTTATTGGCATTATAACGGCATTTCTGGCCTGATATTATTTTGTTAATTTGTTTCCTCTTTCGGCCTGTCCCTCATGCAATTACGACACGTATTATGCGTAATATTCACGGCATCAACTGCCAAAGTGGAGCTCAATGGAAAGTGCCCGAAAATAAAACAGGATTCACAGCAGCAACTGTTGCTGCTGCAGCCCTGTTACATATACATATTTTCAAGATGATTATTATTTTTTTTGCCTGCCATTATGTGAGGTGGGTGTTGTTGTTGTTGGTGCTGGCGCTGTCGCTGAGAAAGTGCGTGGGAATTTGTTGCACGTCGCTTGCATAGTGGCACATCAATGTTATTTCCCAGGCGTCGAGTGCTTCCCCCTTTTTTTTCGCCCTCACTCCACTCCACTCCACTCCACTCGCTGCCACAGCCCGCAGCTAATCCCACATCAAAATCATAGTCCAGGGCGGGTTTTGTTGAAACAGAAATAGTTGCTGCAACAGCCGCATTATTATGCACACACAGCACCAATCCATCTAAGGCTTAGCTGCAGCGAGAGCTGCGACAATTTTAATTGCTGTTGTTGTTGTTGTTGCTGTTGGTGTTGCTGCTGCTGGTGTTGTTGCGCTCTATGCGTTTTCTTTGCGGCTTGGAAAAACCTCATAAGCATTTGTCGCATATGTGAAAAACCAGATGTTGTTGCTTGTGAGAAAATTTTTAACCGCGACAACAGTTACGCGGGGCTGGGGGCTGGATCTGGGGGTAAAGAGAATGCAGCCCAACGCATCAATTTCATTTATTTGCCACTTGTGGCAGCAACAACAACCACCACACAATTATTCAATTGAGGCAATCAAATGAGGGGCGCAGCTAGTCGAGAGCAGCCGGCGGGGTGGTATGGAGGGAGCGGGTCTAAATTTACTTGACATTGTCGCAATCTGAAGTTGAAATTTGTGTCTACTTTTTCCTGTGCCTAGCGGAAATGCACAATTGGAGCTGGTTGGATATGCAGATGAAGTTGCTGCAGCCGCATTAGCAACTGTTGCATCCGGCGGAAAAAAAAAAAAAAAAAAAAGAAGCAGTTGCTGCTGCTGCTGTTGTTGCTGTTGCTGTTGCTGCTGCTGCTGTTGTTGCATGGCAAATCGCTTGCTCTACATTTCAATTACGCGTCGCCCACACGACAATTGGCGTCAATTTGCCAGGCTTGTAGCTACAAGATACATTTTTGTATCTTTTGTTGTTGTTACTGCTGACGCCAGCGACATCGTCGCCAGCTGTTATTGCTGCTGCTTCGGCTGCTGCTGTTGCTGTTGCTGACAAATGCGTTTCAATTGTCGCCGCTGTCTTTTCAATTGTTCAGTGAGCGTGTCAAAACTGCATTGAGAGAGCAACTCTTAAATCTGTGAGTCACGCCTGCAACTGCAGCGACTGCAAGCCAACGGCAACTGTTGCTGTTGCTAATGAGCCGCGCTGTTTGATTTAAGTGCCCCGGCTTAATGTAAATATCTTGTTTTGGAGACCCGTGACACGGCACACCGAAACATTGATTTGTATCAATGCGCAAATATACGTGTATATGTATGTGCGTATATTGTATCTGTAAGATACATTCTCTGACGCTCTGACAGCTGACTTATTGCTAATTGCAAAGCCAGACAACAACAGCAACAGCAACAGCAACAACAGCAACAGCAACATGAAAAGAAAACAAACGAAACGAAATCAGTTCGTCATCCTGGTTTCTTTTCTGTTTGGCGATCGCTTATCTGGCACGATCCGCCTTTGCTCGGCTGCCTGTCAAAATACTTTTAACGCAGACTGTTGGTCGAGTCGGATTTCGAGTGCGAGTGCGACTGAGACTGCGACTGCGACTGCGACTTTGACTTCGACTCACTCTTAATGCGAAATCTATTAAGACTGCCTGCATTGGCGGCTCGCGAAGTGCCCCGTCAATCATTTTTTATTATGGCTCCAGACATAAACTCATTTCAACTGCAGTCGACCAAAAGACGATGGCGACTACGCCCCGGCAACAGCTGCTGCTGCTGCCCACATCAGCAATATCAGCAGCAGCAGCAGCAAAGGCAACAGCAGGAACTCGAGTAATTGGAAAACTGCCATGAAAAATAAACTAACTTCAAATAAAAGTTTTTGCACTCGTTTTGCGTTTACACAGACACAGGCTCCTATAGCTGCTGCTGCTGTTGCTGCTGCTGCTGCAATGCGATGCCAGATAAACACAGACCCAAATATCCAAACAAACAAACGCTGCTGCGGCAGCATTTTGAGCCACCAACGTTGCTGGCCAGCTGCAGCGATCGCTGCTCCCCATTCATTTCTCCTTTTTCTCTCTCTCTCTCTCTCTCTCTCTCACTCTATCTATCTGTCTGGCAGCGATCGAACTACCTCGAAATGAAAACATTTTCATTTTCATAAAATGCCAAATAGCAGCCACAAAAAGCGTAGACAAACGCGTTAATTAAATAAAGGCAAACACATAAAATGCCAGCTAGATTTCAATTTGGTAAAGTCAACTGGGAGATAGAGAAAGAGATAGGAAGGGGGGAACATAGGCAGGAGGTGGAGGGAAGTGAGGGTGACAGCAAAGGCAGGCAGGCAGGCAGGCACAGAGTAGCCTACGACAGGTTACACTCAGAAAAAGAAATAGTGAACATAGATAGTTTAAATGGAAGTTTCATGACAGAAAAGTCCTATAAGAAGTAGGTTTACAAAAATCTGTTTGATAAGTTTCTTATATGCAAGCTGAAGGAATAGATAAATTCTTTATATCTACAACTTCGCAGCTTAAAGCGACTTAGTTTAGCATTAGGCATAGCTCATTTCTCCAAGTGTATGCGCATTTGTGGCACGCATAATTAAGCGAAATTAAAAGCGCATATTTATGCGACACGAAGCGACTAACAGAGCCAAGCGACAAACAGGAAAACAACAACCGACAACAACAACAGCAACAGCAACTTGGCTGCCGTTTCGCACAGGTATCGCATGTGGCAGCCACAACAGCAGCAGCAACAGCAACAGCAACAATAACAATTTATGAGTGCCACGATTAGCTGAGCTGCCGCAGCGCTTAGAAAAGTGAAGACACAAAACTCTGAGGCTCCCCCCTCAACAGCCCCACGCTGTCAACTGTCTACCCCTGTCACTTTCCCTGCCTGCCCCGGCCTAAGTTCCCCTTGCGGCTTATGTAATAAAAATTATATTAAATTACCCAACAGACGCCAACAAACGCTTCGATTTTATTGAATAGTTATGAACTGCACACCATAAGGCAGAGAGAGAGAGAGAGAGATAGAGAGTGTGAGAGTGAATGAGTGCTAGAAGTTGCTGTTGCGCCTGTGGCTAGGCGTTTGCCTAAAGATATTGCTGCAGATTTTATAGATACTTTTAGGCGGATTAATTCAGCTCAATGCTGGCTGTTTGAATAGGCCAAAAGCCCGAAGACAGCTTAAAGATGTGCAACAAAGGCGAAGGAAACCTAAGCTGAAGTTAACAGCTCTTAAGTTATAGTTCTTATAGTTGAGCTCCATGTAGAAGTAGTTATTAGATATATAAGTATTCCAAGGGAATATTCATTAGGGCTGAACAAATCATTGCTGAATGGAGCAGTTACATCTTAAGTTTTAGTTACAAATCTTGTAGGTTTTTCTTCTTGGTATACAGTTGCCTAAGATTCCCAAAGAAAATTTACAGAATAGAAATCGAATTAGTGTGGATCTGGGATATTCTCTAAATATTTCAAGATCTAGTTTCAAGAACTAGTTGCTTTAAGACCCTTAGAGATGTTTTCAAAGAGTTATTCCTATGGTATGTGTAGATCACTCTATTAATATTACGAAGATTTTTCAGCAATCGATCATACTTTGTTCTGATTATATTTTTGGCAAATAAAAAATTTGTATTACCTATACATTCTGTAATAAGAACCTATATGGCATGTTTAACTTAGAGACGTCTCGAAATTCAGCACTTCCTAGAGTATTTGTATTAAAGAGACTTTTCTTCAACATCTTATTCAATATCCAATTCAATTATGCAAACGCATTCAGAACTATAAAGAACGAGTAAATGCTACTATTTTTATTGTCTTAAGCTTCCGCCTAGTTCCATAATCTAAGTCCATCTCCATATCACATCGGCTATTTTATAGCTTAACAGCTAACTGCTACACAACCCTCTTTTTGTCAGTTTATAATTAACTCTAGTTAATTTATTTGAAATCACTTGTGTGGATAGGAGTAAGAGCCCGTTATAAAAGTTGAGTTATTAAAGGAAATTTGAATGCTCTTAACCGATTTCTCCATTAGGCTGGCAAACTTTATGATCAAGCTGAATTACCTCGTTCTTCTTCTCTTTCTCTCTCTCTCTCTCTCGCACCATCTTTGTTTGTCTCTGCCTCAGTCTCCGAGTGTGAGAGTGAGTGTGTGTGCGGTAGAGAACCAGTTCGATAGCCTCGGCTGCATTTTAATGGCATCATTAGCTGAACTGCGCGGGCTACCGGATATGGTTGATCGTTTGTCACTCCAGCTAATCCCCCTTTCGCGGCGAATGCAGCTGCAGCAGCAGCGCCCGGAGTTGAGCGAGTCCGAAAGAACTGGACTACCGGTAATTACCATTTAAATTAGTGCACTTTTTTACGCAACTGAGGAGAGTACGAGTAGTTGAAGAAAACTGGCTGTCAGCTCTACTAAACGGCAACGATTTTGAATGAACTTGAAACAGTTATAGGCGGAACTCGTGGGGCTAGACAGAATAGGTGGAATTGCGTACGCCATAGATGGTATCATTGGCCTCTGGCAATTTGCATACTTTCCCTGTGCTGGGACGGTTCAGTCGCTGGGCAATCAGATTCAGATCCAGGTTCTGGACACGCACCATCAACGTGGGCTCCTTGTCATGGCTGCGCGGCACAAAGTTCTTTTGGCAGTTCAACGGCATAATGGGGCATTTGCCGTGGTGTGTGGCATCCGGCAAGGGACCGATGTTAAAGGGTCCGACATCGACACCAATGTTCTTGCTGCCGCAGGAGATGCACGTAATGCCCGTATTAATGAATCCAGCAGCGCGCGGACACGTGTCCTTGTCCTCGATCTTGCTCAAACGCTGATCGATATTGTCGAAGCGATCACGTATGTATTTCTTGAGCGCCGGCATGTGGACCTTGTCCAACTTGCTGTCGAGCATATCCTGCAGCTCCTCCATGGTGCCAATGAAGGTCAGATTGTACTCCTTGACCAGTCCACGCAAGTTCTCAATCTCGATGACGCACTGCTTGACCAGCTCGAGTCGATCGAACAGTTTCTGCGTCTTGTTCAGAAATGCCGTCAGTGATATATAGAATTGATTTAGATCCGCCTGCAGTTTCTCTATCATTTCGAGTATGGGCGCGGCAATGCGTCGCAGCAGTTTCTTCATGAAGTCCATGTTCTGCAGCAAGCTACAGGCGATCTTGTTATCCTCATCGCAAACGGTGCAGAGGTCCTCACAGGGCGACGAGTACTGTTCCCACAACTCCTTCTGGTACTTCTTCGAGTTCACCTTGTTGACGGTGCGTATTTGCTGAAAGTGCGACTCGAGCTTCGATTCGACTTGGGCCAGACGCTTCTCCATGGCCACCATCTTGTCCAGTTCTGTGGAAATCGGCTCAATGCTGGCCAAATCGAATGGCAGTGGGGACACCTTCGAGCGCTCCAGCAAACGTTCCATGCACTTGCCCTCGAAGCCCCCAATTGTCACCAGATCATGATTGCAATTCAACTTCTTCATCATCGTATCCAACAGACTGTGCAGCACGGCGACATTCACATGATTCATCTCTGGCACGCCCAGCGCAATGCGCGCCAATTGCTCCAGCGTCAACTGCATCTCGAATCACTTGGGCAACAACAAACGTGAAAATAAAATGAACAATTTGAAAATGCAAATAGTCTAGCTAGATATATGTATATCTGTAAATATTATAAACTCTCTACTCTCTGTTCAACCTGTGTATTTAACTAACTTGTAATGTTTCCAGATGGTTCTGTCACTTCGACGATGACAACTATGTCAATGTGCCCCGTTTGGTGAAACTGCTGGACGAGTACAGCCCAACGGTGGACTGGTATCTGGGCAAGCCGAGCATATCCTCGCCGCTGGAAATACATCTCGATAACGTAAGTGCAAATCTATGTTCGTTTTCATTACAGCCTTTGTATACTCTGCATGCGAGGCAAATGCATGAAAGAGGGACTTTTCGGTATCTTTAATGTCGTTTTTGGAAAAATTCTTTAAATGTATAAATGTTGTATTAGCTAGTCATTAGATTAGTAGAGCTATAGAGCTGAGTTTATCTTTTCTCATGATAACTTTGTTTATTAATATGATCTATAAATATTTATCGATAAATATCGAGCGAAAAATGTTTGTTTTGAGTCATAACTCATAGATCGAGCAATAACATTTTATATATAAACATTCATATTTTGCCCCAGCATATGATTGTTCCACTTTATGGATAAAATTCATAAATAATGATAGCAAAACATATTTTTGGTCTACAAACGACTTCAAATATCATCCTATAGTGCCATAAACTTCTAAGCTATAAGATTTGATTGGTATTTGTATAAGCTAGAGCTATAAATATCATAGCACAGCAAAACTAAGAGGCGCATATACTCGTTCACCTGGCTGCCTACTGCTTTGCTATTATTTTGCATTTTTTTTGCATTCAGCTTCTTTTTTTCTTCTCTTTGCATATTTTCCAATACCAATAATTACATGACGCTGTGTTTACGGCCATGTCCATAGCTCTGGGTATATGGCAGCGGCGATCGCCTTTCTCCGGGCTGCATTATTTATGCGCCTGGCTGTGGCCATTTGTCTATGCCGCCATTTGGCTTCCAGCTGCCAGCGCAGGCTATCATTAATAACCGATATGATCTGGCTCAGACAAGCGCAAGCGCAAGCGCTGGCTGCTTTGGCTAGCTGCTTGCTCTGGCTGACTGGCTGACTCTCTCGATCTGTGTTCCCATTTCGATCCATTTGAAATATATGTAGCCGGCTGATCCCGTAATGAATGCTGTTGCATGCAACAAACAGTGTTTTTTTTTCTCTCACTCTCTCTCTGACTTCTTATTGTAGGCTGGGCCGCATGCCACGACGAATCGTTGAATCGACGAATCGAGCCTGATCCCTGCCACAAACTAATTGAAAGCCCACAAAAAAAATACTGAAAACTTAACGCTTCATTAGGTCAGGAGGAGCTGCTGCTGCTGCTGCTGTCAAAAATCTTCGTATATTCGTTTTAGTTTCGGTTTTGGTTCGGGCTTTTGGGTTTTGGCTTTTGGGCTGCGTATTAAGTTTCCTTAACGCACATGTCCCATTTACATGGTCAATTAATCAAGTGGGGATTTCTTTATGCTTGCTTTTTTTGGTCAGTTTCTTAATTTTTAAAAACAACAATTTGGCAAAAATGTGAGTTAAGGGCATATGAACGACTGCGTTATACGCTGTAAAGTTAAAAGCTAAACTTAGCTAATGCAGCTATTGGCTTGGTATGGGTTCTTAGCTCTGTGACTCTAAAACTGTGGGAAAGCAGCCATCAAACGGTGTCTAGAAAATGCTATCAACAGTCACTCCATAGTCTATTTTCTACCTCTACTCTCTCACTAGCCTGATATACCCGCTTTTCACTTCACCAACAATACACGTCAAATATGTTATTATTATTTATGTTTATCCTTTGCTGAGGTCATTTATTTGGTTCTTCCGTTAACTTTTGCCTTCTTCGACCTCTTCTCATCTTGCAGAAGAACACGACGACCAACAAGAAGATCACCTTTTGGTTTGCCACAGGCGGCGCTGGCTTCTGCCTGAGTCGAGCCCTGACTCTGAAGATGCTGCCCATAGCAGGTGGCGGCAAATTCATTAGCATCGGCGACAAGATACGCTTTCCAGACGACGTCACAATGGGCTTCATCATAGGTGAGTGAAGTTGCTGCAAAGCCTTCAATGACCATCCCTGAGGCGTAATATTAACTCTTTTCCATCTTTCGTCTCTCTCCCTTTCTCTCTTGCAGAGCATTTGCTGAAGGTGCCGTTGACTGTTGTCGATAATTTCCACTCGCATTTGGAGCCCATGGAGCTTATACGCTCCGATACATTCCAGGATCAGGTGTCCTTCAGCTATGCCCACATGAAGAATCAATGGAATGTGATCAAAGTGGATGGCTTCGACCTGAAGACGGACCCAAAGCGTTTCTATTCACTGCACTGTCAACTCTTTCCCTACTTCAGCTTCTGCCCGCCCAGATAAAACGTAGATCGATAAATGTATCGGGTGTCTCCCATTGGCTGTTGCCGACGTTGCGATCGGTTCTGAACCCAAAGTTGTTTGGCAAACGTCGAAAAAAGATTAGGAGAAAGCAGAAAAACAAAATCTCATCACTGTGATTTAATATTTAAGTAAGCGAATATGAATGATACATCGATAACAATCGATAACAGCTAAAATGATAAACAGATGGTTCTTTGTACATATATATAAATATCGAATTCAACTCGAAAGTTGTGCTTCCTAGAGATTCATAAGTTAATCAAGAACTTGCCTTCCAAAAAAAGCATATAAATATATACATAAATATATCGATAAATAGATTATTCAAGTTTTTAACTATTATCTCTTAAGCTCTGCAATTACAGCAATTCAACACTTTCCAAGTGCTTCCTTTATATTGTAGCGTTACGTACACTCTTCCATTGAAGCTAATAGCTTAGTTCAATTAATGGTCTAGTCTATGTTTAAGTTGAGTTTAGAGTTTAGTGCGCAGATATGGACATATCATATTCATAACATCAATTAAGGGTTCTCTGAACTCTTAAAGACAGTCTCCAGAATATGCCTTATCTGCGATGTGCGTGTATATAGATATATATAAAAACAAATGTATTTGTAATCTGTAGTCTAATCTCTAAGAAATGTTTAAACTATTTTTGTTAATTTTTAGTTTGCCTAAATAAAATCTGATCAAATAACATAAAAAGAATCAAATCTGAGCCTTATTTTAATGTTAATTAACACTATAGTTACATAGCTGATATTATATCAAGTGCGATTACAGCTGGAACTCTCTCTATCTCTCTCTCCCCTTCTCTACCTTTATATAAAATACTCTACTTATCTATTCTGGTAAATTAATTTCAAAATTAAGTATATTTTGTCCACTGTAATACCCCTGTTAACTTTAACATTAGACACCTTTCGCTGCGCTTCTCACTGTTAGACTACTGGTAACGTGTTACAGTGCGATTCACAGTTATATTCACGTAACTTTTTGGCTTATCGTGTTTGCCTGTTGCCCACTGCAGTTCCTGTTGTTGCTGTTGCGGCAGCTTATCAACTGATTGTCACTTAACATTCTGTGTACTTGTTTGGCTGCTGTTGCATTTTGCATTTCGCAGCAAAAAAAATACAAAATGAAGAAAAGCCAAACAAAATTCGTTGTTAATTAACGCTAAAAGCCATGTTAAGGCCCGCTAAAGCGTTAACTTTTAACGATATGGATCAGAGAGTTTCCATGGGGCAGGCCATTGCCAGCCAGCCAGCCAGACAACCAGACAGACAGTCGGACAGACAGACAGACAGACATTGACATGTCCACGTCCATGTCCTGTGCAGTCAAAGTCGCACAGGAAGGCGCACACTGACTGTGAGACAGACAGCGACTCTCCGAGGAGAGGGTGCCTGATGCTATGCAGCACTGGGGCACGACGTTGCTGCCGTTGCCGTTGCCAATGACATGTTGTTGAATTTTTATAAAAGACTCACTCGACTATAGTTCGCCTGCCTTCATCTCTTGCTCTGATATGTTAAACAGTTCTGGGCAATTATTTTTTCTCTTTTTTTTGTTGTTGTTGCTGTTGTTGTGTTGGCTGTGATTTTTAGTCGCTTATATGCAGATAATCAGTTTTTAGTCCATGTCGAGGCGCGCTTTAATCAATGAAGGCTACCTGGTCCTGGGCTTAGCCCGAACCCAGCCTAGCCTGGCCTGGCCTGGCCTGGCCTGGCTTAGCCAGCCAACTTGGCCAGCAATTTTTGTGTCTTGTTCGTTTTAATTGCAAGTGAAATCCTTATCAAGAGTCTTGTCCTGCAGGCCATCTCTGTGCAAGCTGTCTGAGTGGCTGGCTGGCTGGCTGTCTCTCTGCCTGTCTGTCTGTCTGCTCACGTCACAGCATCGATAATGAATTAATTATCATATATTAAAAGTTAGCTCTCCCTCACTCCATGTCCGTCTGTCTCGCTTTGTATCTAGATAATCTCTTTGGCCCTGGCACGCCTTTGCATATTTTATGTATATTTTTACAGAATTTAATGAACTTCGAGCGTCTTTTCTGATTTGGCTCTTGAGGTTTCATTGTGTTTGATTTTCCAGGTTATTCATCAAATTTAATAACCACAAATAGACTTTAAAAACCAGTAGCACACACACGCACACGCACACATACGCACGCACAGTCAGCGTCGACGCCGCCTACACCAAAAAGTATCTCAAGTTTGAATTGTGAAGCCCATTGAAAATTTGGATTTAATTTGCGGTCGAGCCGCAGCCAGCTGCAACTGCAGCACAGCTCGAGTTATTTATGTAAAATCATAAATTTAATTGAGTTTGAATGTTGTTTGAAAGGATTTGAAAAGAGGTTGCTGTATAAGCTGTTCAGAGATACAAAAGTAGCTACCGCTGCATAAGCGCCTGGGTAAGATACAAAAGTATCTGCAGCTCATTTCGTATGCAGAGCAGGCAGCAAGGCGCAAATTATACGCAAGGCTGCCTATGGATATAAGCATCTTGTAGAGATGCACGCTCGGGCAATGCGTGCCCAAAGTATCTGTAAGATACTTATCGCTGGTCCGCCGCTTCGTGCCATCGTTGTCAACCAATTTTGGCGGCCAGCGAAATGCCAGGCCAGCCCAAAATGGCAATTCTGATGGAAACAGCAGCAGCAGCAGCAGCAGCAGACCAGGCAGGCAAATAACTTGGCTCGTCAGTCACTCAGTCTGTCAGTCAGTCAATCGTTCAAGCAGCAAGCCATAAATTAGTGCAGCAGCGCAGAGCAGAGCAGAGCAACAGAGCAGAGCAGCATCAACAGCAATTTATGTGGTGCAGCCGAACGATCGACAAGGCGCTGCGCTGCGCTGCCACAGCAGGTGCAGCTAAAAGGAGACAGCGTACAGGGGCGGCAGGTGGCACACAGGTAGCAGCAGCGAGAGAAAGAGAGAGCGAGGTGGAGCGAGAAGGGGGTACTTTAGTTGCTTGTCTATAATTGCAAAATGAACTCGCGGCTGGCTGCGCGTCGGGCTCATAACTTAAAGGTTGCTGCTGCAGTTTATGTGGCAACTGCTGCTAAATTATGTTTATGTGCAGCAGCCCCGCAATCTCTGCATTGGTGTGTGTGTGTGTGTGCTGCCTCCTAGTGTTACCAATTAAGATTGAGTCTGGTTTTTGAATACCCTGTACAAATGGGAAATGCTTAAAGATTGGGCATTCGAGTTTTATGCCAGGATAAGGCAGATCTATGAGGGGCAAGCAGTTGACAATCTTATTGATTGACTACCTAAAAAATTGGTTGATTGATTGATTATGCATTACTGATAAGATGGATGAATTATTGATATATTATTATACGACTGACTAACTGATTGATTGAAGAAATTACTGTTTGGTGTGAAGATTGAAGGACTAGATGATTGATTTCTTGATTGAATGACTAGATGACTGACTTGCTGATTAACTGACTGACTGCCTGTTCAATTCCAAATTGAAAGACAGCACAAATTGACTAACAGACTGACTGAAAATTTAATTGAACGATTGACAAACGAATTGATTGATTTACAGAACTGAAGAATGGGCGATAGCCTGGGTACTAGTCTGAGTGAATCATTGCTAAAAAGATATTCAAATCTTGACTTACCTTATGAGCTGTGAGCAAGCAACAGGAGACCCAAATGCATCTGTAATTGAACAATTGAATTGAATTGGCATTAGACAAATTAATAGTATTAGCTACAACTTCAATCTATATAAACTACGCTATAAAGACGATGGGTTCACTTTCTCTATATAGCGGCAAACGATTAGCTGTAACTTGCTTTAAAGCGGTTGCTGCAACAGTTCAACTGCTGCTCTACAACTTGATTAGGACGTGCGGCCGCAACAAATTTACGCTGAAATTTGCGCGACGTGTCCCAAAAAAAAAACAACAAAATAATAAAAAATAAAAACTAAAGAGAAGACAAAAGCAGCCGCTAACCGATGCTTATCAGTGGGTACTTGGCGTGGCTCAGAGAGAGAGAGAGAGAGAGAGAGAGAGAGAGAGAGAGAGAGAGAGAGAGAGAGAGTGAAAGAGAGAGCTATAGAGAGGCGGGGGCAGGCACTCAAGTTTGGGGCAGGGGCTGGAGCTGATGGGTCCGTTGATGGTTTGCTTTTATGTTTGTAATTGTTTCTTGAACGTGGCTCCGATGACGGCAACTGCGCTGCGACGTTTCATCAACAACAACACGAAAAAAAACAACATAAAACAAACAAGAGAAAAACATGCGATAAAGATAAAGAATGTGACCAGGTGTGTGTGTGTGTGTGTGTGCGTATGGTGTGTATGACCTGGTAAATGTTTGCGCCTGCGCAACAGCCTACACACTCGCACAACAATCACGGAGGCAAACAAAGGCAAATGACGCGCTTATCAGTTAAAATTAATCAGGCGTTGCCTTTGCTCTTCTTCTTCTTCTTCTCGCTGCTGCTGCTGCTGATGTGGTTGTTGCTGTTGTTGTTGTTGTTTGTGGCACGCACTTGAGCTTCACACACACACTTGCACACTTGCACACACTCGCTCACCTTTCAGCGCCAGTTGTGCCGCATTTATTGTTTTCCAACGAATTTGTTTGCGCTTTAGCACAACATTTTACAAGACTGTTTATTGTTGCTGTTGTTCTTGTTGCTGTTGTTGTTGTTGTATTTGTCCAGGCTTGAAGCAACGTTCCATTTCATGTCATATTCATTGTGTTTTCTTCATGCATATCTATCTACTCCTATCGCTCCGTATCTGCTGTAGCTCAAGCTCAAGTGTCCGCAGTGCCATTTCATGTTTCCCTGGAACAGTTGCTCCGTTTCTTCTACGGCTACTCGAAAATTGTGAGGTAGCGCGTTTATCTCGAGGTTTGCATCTTTTAGAACCCACTCGGCCACTCGGCCAGGCTTCAAGTGCCACACGCAGTGGGCGTTACGCAACCAACACACACTAACTCGGTAAATATCAGCTGAAGCACTACACAGAGTGGAACAAATCCCAGTTCTCCAATCCGATTCCCATTCCCAATCGGAGTCGGAGTTGGAGACGGAGTCAGCTTTGACGCCCACTTTGGACAGCAGCATTCCAGCGCCTATAATTATATCAACCATAATGGCAAAAGCTGCTAAAACTGCAAAAAGCAACAGAAAAAAACTCGGCAGAAGCTACACAAAGCAGAGCTCAAAACATCGCAGCAGCATCATCAAAATCCTCTCCAGCTACAATTCTTCAGCTTGAGCGTTCGAGTGTTTAATTGCTGAACGCTGCTGAAAATAGCTTCGAGCTATGTGAAGTTTGCTCTTAAGCTGCCCCAGCCCCAGCCTACGGCCCTGTCTCAGCTCTCGCCTCAGAAGCTGCCTCTGCCGCTCCCACTGCCTCTGCCTTTGCTCTTCCTTTATTTCCTACTCCGCTTGCTGCTGTTGATGCTGCTTCTTGCTTCTGTTTGGCCTTCGCTGCTCTACGCGATAATTACAGCATTTTGTTGTATCAATTTGTTAATGAACTCAAGACTTCGTTTTTTGGAGTTTTAGATGCCGCTTCTTATAGCATTATGATATACCCTGTAATTTTAGACAATGGGGTAAGAGCTATACATAGAAGATGGAACTAAAAAAGAGCTATGAGTTAGATAGGATAAATAAATAAGAAAAGTAAATAGTTATAAATAAAAAACAAGAAGAACAACTATAGAGAAGAA